CCAGTCACTGGAGAAGGCTATCATGTTTGGTAAGATGGAGGGTCAGAGAAAAAGAGGAAGACCCCCAACAAGATGGACTGGCCAAGTGGCAGCGTTGATGGACTCAAGCATGGCAACATTAGTGAGGTTGGCCCAGGATCCGGCAGTGTTTGCGTTCTGCTGTGCATTTAGGTCGCTATGAGTTGGTGCCAACTCAATGGCACCTAACAACAACAAGAAGTAGATCCCCTCAGAAGCCACTGTTTTTATTGGACTTCCTCGCCTCCCCCCCCCCTCCCCGCCCCATGTACCCTATTGAGATTCATAACAAATGAATTACTGAGAGAATTTGTCTGCTGTCATCTATGGATCTCAGAGACATGTTTTGCTTGCAATTATCCCTGGGATGTATGAACAGAAACCCTAGTAGCAACATATTTTACTTACCCTACCCTGGTATGGTGCTGTGGTCTATTGCATCAGACTGCAAAGTCATTTGAACTGTAAAATCAGTGGTTCAAGCTCAACAGCTGCTCCTTGGAAACCTTATACAGTCGCTATGTGCCAGAATCGACTCAACGGCACTTAACAACAACAACAACATAGTGGGCAATGGAAGTTTAGTGATAGAATTTTCACCTTCCATGCAAGAGATACCTCATATGCAGCAATAATCTGTTAATGGAGGCTAATTTTGATGTTGAACAAGATTCAGAAAGAGCTGGCAACCTACTTTCAAAAGTCAACAAAGGACTATTTTGTTTATTGTGTATGGGGTCACATGCAAAATAAGGCTGACTTAATGAAAGTTAATAGCAACAACATAGCTAAGGTATAAAGATTAATATAAAAAAAGAACTCAGGCCCAGAAGTCATTGATGGGCTTGCATGGAAGGCATAAGCTTATATAGTACCTTTAAATATGAGAATATTTTCTAGTATTAGTTTCAGAGACATTTTTGATTAATAACAAGACCCCAGGATTAAAGGATATTTTTAAACAAATACAAAAATGAAAAATGATGTGCGAGTCCAACATTGAACTGTTCTATGTAAGTAAAGTAAACTAAACAAGGAAACTATACTTACTTTTAATTTCCACTGACTCAGGATCTACTTTAGGGGGTCCTATAGCATGTTGCAACTTCTCATGTAGAAAGCGATGAATATTTTTATTTATGTTTTCAGGATTTTCAGTAGAACGAAATTTAAAAATTAGCAGCATATGAGCCAGTATTCCATAATCCTCTTGACTGTGGATCAATACAAAAGGAAAAAGGAATTTTAAAGAAATAGCCCAAAATACGATTTATGGTAGCATCACAATTTGTTTTGTCTTAGTCACTCATGGAAACACATACACACAGAAAGAGGTAAATGCAATTTAACATATTCAACTTATTTCCCTCTATAATCCTATTGTTGATCAAGTACAGAATCCATCTTCAACTCAAACCCTTTAAAATAAACAGGCATAATTCTAGTCTCCTTACTAAAAAGGAGCCTACTTAAATATATCTGTTGTTCTTAAGAGCCTTGGATTCAGTTTCAACTCACAGTGACCTTATAGGGTTTTGAAGATTTTAAATCTTTTGCGGGAACAGAACGTCTCATCTTTCCCACTTTCCCCCATGGAGCAGCTGGTAGGTTCAAACCGTCCACTTTGTGATTTGAAATCCACTGCTTATCCTATGAAGCTACCATTATCATATATATAGTTGTTGTGAGGTGCCATCTAGTAGGTACCAACTCATAACGACCCCTATATACAATAGAACGAAACACTGCCCAATACTGGGCCAAACTCACAATTGTTGCCATGATTGCGCCCAATGATGTTGCCACTTTGCCAATCCATCTCACTGGGGGTCTTCTTCTTTTTCTCTGACCCTCCACCTTAGAAAACATGATATTC